GTGTGTGTGTGTGTGTGTGTGTGTGTGTGTGTGTGTGTGTGTGTGTGTGTGTGTGTGTGTGTGTGTGTGTGTGTGTGTGTGTGTGTGTGTGTGTGTGTTGTGTATGTGTATGTGTATGTGTGTGTGTATGTGTGTGTATATGTGTGTAATGTGTGTGTATATGTGTGTGTATATGTGTGTGTATATGTGTGTGTATATGTGTGTGTATATGTGTGTGTGTTGTGTGTGTGGTGTGTATATGTGTGTGTATATATGTGTATATATGTGTGTATATATGTGTGTGTGTGTGTGTGTATATGTGTGTGTGTGTGTGTGTGTATATGTGTGTGTGTAAGTGTGTGTATATGTGTGTGTGTAAGTGTGTGTGTATATGTGTGTGTGTAAGTGTGTGTATATATATTATATATATATATTATATATATATAATATATATTATAAATATATATATATATATATATATATATATAATATATATATATTTTTTTTTTTCAACAAGTCGGCCATCTCCCACTGAGGCAGGGTGACCAAAAAAAAAAAAAAAAAGAAAATCACCAAAAAGAAAATACTTTCATCATCATTCAACATTTTCACTTCACTCATACATAATCACTGCCTTTGCAGAGGCACCCAGATACAACAGTTTAGAAGCATATACAAAGATATATATAACCACCCAGGGAGGTATTACCGTGCTGCCAAGTGAGCATAAAATGGAAGCCTGTAATTGTTTTACATGATGGTAAGTTTGCTGGTGTCTTTTTTCTGTCTTATAAACATGCAAGATTTCAGGTACGTCTTGCTACTTCTACTTACACTTAGGTCACACTACACACACATGTATACATTTATGTATACACACTCATCTGAGTTTTCTTTGATTTTATCTTAATAGTTCTTGTTCTTATTGCTTTTCCTTTTATATCCATGGGGAAATGGAATAAGAATCTTTCCTCCATAAGCCATGATTGTTGTAAAAGTCAACTAAAATGCCAGGAGCAAGGGGCTAGTAACCCCTTCTCCTGTATAAATTACTAAATTTAAAGAGAGAAACTTTCGTTTTTCTTTTTGGGCCACCCTGCCTTGGTGGGATACGGCCGGTTTGTTGAAAGAAGAAAGAAAGAATATATATATATATGGAGGGAGGGGTAAAGGTGGTGTTGTAGGCGAGGGGCTTAGACTTCCAGCAAGCGTGCGCCAGCATGTTAAAGAGGAGTGAATGGAGATGAATGGTTTTTGGGACATGACGAGCTGTTGGAGTGTGAGCAGGGTAATATTTTGTGAAGGGATTCAGGGAAACCAGTTATTTTTATATAGCCAGACTTGAGTACTGGAAATGGGAAGTACAATGCCTGCACTTTAAAGCAGAGGTTTGGGATATTGGCAGTTTGGAGGGATATCTTTATATATGCTTCTAAACTGTTGTATCTGGGCACCTCTGCAAAAACAGTGATTATGTATGAGTGAGGTGAAAGCGTTGAATGATGATGAAAGTATTTTCGTTTTGGGGATTTTCTTTCTTTTTGGATCACCCTGCCTTGGTGGGAGATGGCCGACTTGTTGAAAAAAAAAATATATACATATACACACACACACTTAAAAATTATTGTATAGAGTATATAAAAATTACATATTCCCTGAATGCTAAGATCAACTCATGATCAGTCTAAATTACTAATAGTAAAAAGTTATAACAACTTCATTAAATTCATAAAAAACTATGAGGGATGTTTATGTCTCAAACTGATCTTAGTCCTATACCACCATCACATCTTGGAAGTTCTTAAGAATGGCATTTGACTTACTGTATGTACAAAGACTTCAACACAGTCAGTTTTGAAAAATCACAATAAACCAGCAACATTTGGGTTGCCTTATATGTAAGTATTAATTGTAGTAATTGCACTGAGTTTTATGTGTTGTACTGTACTTGTTCATCCTTTGCCAAGGTTTATGCAACACTTGCAACACACACACATTTACATTAACTATGGAAGATTTGTTGCTCGCTCACCACAAATATCGCACAGATGTGTATAATAATGATCTGTACAAAAATAAATAACAGAATAACAAAGGAATAAATTATTGGCAACTTGACATTCTCAATACGCTTGAACAAACAAGCATTCTTACGTAATCACAACATTTACAAACTTTACAGTAAAATTAAACCTTTGCTCTTTGAATACAAGTTTGCCATTTTTACTTAAGAATACATCTTATAAATGAAATGTAATATATTAAGAATGAATTTATTGATTAATATCATGTAATATACAAAAAAGAATTAATGCTTTCCTTTACTACAGCCAATGCTCTTAGGGTATTGAACCCAAATTTATGTAAACTACAAATTAATATACGTAATAGATTCCCTCTAAATGAATAATATGGCACAATTGAAAACTGCAAAAATTAGGAATGTATTTCTGGGCCTATGCCAATTGGAATGACCTGCAAGTAAAGGATACAAATACATACTATACTCACCATCCAACTAATATAGTGGAATCAATAACGAAAGCACCATAGTGTTGTCTTTTCAAAAACTAAAACGACTTTAAAATCATAACATTTTTTTAAAAATAAGATTGAGCAGAAAACACAAGCCAAGCCAGTGGCTTAACTTTGTTTTAATAAATAAAGCAACATATGGAAACAATGAAACTTTTAATAAAATAACCATAGAAATTCTAATTATACATGACTTTCTACCAACAATCCTTGGTTCACAAGACTGTCTTATTCTATATAAATGACTAGAAGTTGTGCCAATTCAAGCACAGGTGAATGAACACAAAGAGGTGGGAGTTTGAGGAATGAATTACCAAACCACAGAACCAATGACAGTTGACTGGACTGCCTTTTTCATAAGAGGACAGTGGTCATTATGTCAACTTGAAAATTAACAAAACAAAAAAGGTGAACTAGAAGCACTCGTATATAATTCAAATTTACTTAAATTAACAAAACCCTATAAAATTGTACATTCAAATTGGCAACATTATTTTAGCTCTTCAAAAAATCACCATCAAGGCATCAAATTTGGGAGCTGATATTCCTTGTTACAATACTGAGTTCTAATGATTAATATCTTAATATTTTACCTCTCTAAAAAGTCAGTTATATACAGTATGTATGTGTATGAATATATATATA